TCTAAGGCTATAGCAGCATAACTATAGAGATAGCTCAGGATAACCTGAGCCACCCTAACTATAAGCTTTATCAAAAAGGAAAGTTTTAAGCCTAGCCTTAAAAGTAGACAGGGTGTCTGCCTCACGGTCTAAAACTGGTAGTTGGTTCCACAAGAGAGGAGCCTGACAACTAAAAGATCTGCCTCCAATTCGTTTAGAAATTCTAGGAACCGTAAACCTGCAGATTGAGAGCGAAGTGCTAGGTTAGGAATTTAGGGAACATTCGTATCTCTGATATAAGATGGAGCTTGGCCATTTAAGGCTTTATATGTGAGGAGCAGCATTTTAAATTCTATTCTGGATTTAACAGGAAGCCAATGAAGGGAAGCCAGGATAGGAGAGATATGATTTCTCTTTTTAATTTTCATCAGAACTCCATCTGCAGCATTTTGGATCAGCTGAAGGCTTTTAACTACAGTTTGTGGACTTGATAGTAAATAATTATAATAGTCCAGCCTTGAAGTAACAAATGCATGGACTAGTTTCTCAGCATCACCCCAGGACAGGATATTTCTAATTTTTTGCAATATTCCTCAGATGATAGAAGGAAATTCTAGAAACCTCTTTGAAATGAGGTTTAAATGACAGGTCCTGATCAAAAATAATATAGTCCAAACTAGACTATAACTTCTGTTTTGCCTGCATTCAAGAGCAGAAATTCAAGAGTCATCTGTGTTTTTGTCTTCAGAAATGCCTGTAATTAATGGGTTAGCTTTATCTTGATTTAAAGACAGATATAGCTGATTAATTGGTCCTAGCACTGATCCCTGTGGTACTCCACAGGTAACCCTGGAGCATGAAGAAGATTTATCATTACACTGAACATGACTGTACATGCATAATAATTTACCTGACATTTTATTGGTCAAATAAATCTATTTATTGTTTCAGCTGCACAATATAAATGTATCCTTATTGCAATATGAGTGAATGCAGCATCAATAACTGCTAAGAATATAACTATTAATAAAACTGCTAATCATTCAGTCTATAACAATATATTTGTTTTTTAATATATCATAAAAGTGTCATGAAGCGAGGACAAATGGACCCAGTATTCAAGAAGACAGTCAGTGGGCAAGTTCAAAACGTTTATTTAATGAAAAACAAAACTAAA